TGGTCTGGGAAAGATTAGCCTTTTCATCATAATCCTTAGGACAGTGATTGTGAGGCTCCTCTAACTGATCACTGGTCACAATGGGCAAGATGGTGAGACAGTAGATTTTAGCTCAGTAGACTTTCATGGCAGAGAGATTTCTTTCAGTTAACCATCATAGTGTATAGAGTGTTGCTTTGGTAGTAGCTGTTAATGAAGCAAACAATATTAAAGTTTATGTTTAAAGTTATTTGAACATTAATACAATATTTTACAAAAGTTTAATATCCATATGTTAAACATAACCAATAACTAAACCATGGTAATTAATGGGATTTACATATGCTGGCCTGATGTTACCATTAATTGTTAGCTAACTTTTAAAATAATCTAGAATAGTGAATTTCTAATGGAATTTCAAATGAATTATACCATAGCCAGTGTGGCACAGTTGGTTGAGCATTGTCCCATGCACCAGAAGGTGGCTGGTTTGATTCCTGGTTAGGGCACATGCCCAGGTTGCAAGCTTGATCCCCAGTAGGGAACAGGGCACATGCAGAAAGCTGCCAATCAATGATTCTCTCACATTGATGCTTCTCTCTCTCTCCCTCTCTCTTCCTCTTTCTCTAAAATCAATAAAAACATTTTAAAAAATAAAAATGATTGCTATGTGTAATAGAATTAATACAGAGGAAATTAATAGATTATTAATAGATTAGATTATTATTTGTTTAAGTCAATTCAGACTTATTCAAACAATTAATAATCGTTTAAGTCAAATTCAGAAAATAAACAAAAATAAGAAAATTATGTCTATTTAGAATAAAACAAAACTATAAGTTATATAGTTAGAAAAATTATTTTATAATATGTAGTGGAAAAACAAATGCAGAATTTAGTCTTTATTTATGCTATTAATAAAGATTACTGTGCCTTGTGTAGTGGCAAGTTAAATTTGGTGCCAAAATCTCTCTTGATAATATTTCCATTTATATTTAAAAGATGTATGTATACACATATTCCAATTTAGTGGGGAGACTGTAAAAGTTGAAAATAAATTTATGCTATTATATGATCTAAATTACCCTTTCAATGTTATTTTCCACTATTTTTGTGCTCATTCTCAGTCAAGTTGACACACCCAATATGACACTTTATACTATATTATCTGCTATTCTCCCTTGTTTATATGGTTCCCCTAGTCAGAATACATATCTTTATATTTCCCACTTTCTAATTTATATGCCTACCTAATATTCTAAGTCCATTTGAAAAACTGTTCTTTACAGAATTGATGACAATCATTTTCTAGGCACTGCATGTTATATAGATATCACATGTGTAGTAAGATTTTTGATGCTAATTCATTTTTTTCTACTCACTATAATTATTCAGGACTAGAGGCTCAATGCACAAAATTCACACACTGGTAGGGTTCCTAGCAGCTGCCGGCTGCCAGCTGGGTATTCCCTCCCTTTCCCCGGCCAGCCCCGCCCCCTGGTCGAACTCTCAGACAACTCCGGGTCAAGGGGACAATTTGCATACTATGCTTTTATTATATAGGGTCACACATTAAGAGTTCTACCAATCTATGTGGAATGAATAATTGAATCGATTTAAAATAAAGGTATTTCACAAAAGATGAACCATGTCCAGCACTGCCAGGGGTGAACCTGAGGAGGGACAGAGAAGGATTAAAGAAGACAGACAAGAGAATACAACTGGGGTCAGGTGGGACACTGTTCTCCGATGGAGAGACAGTGCCACAGCCTGCAAGTTGAGTCTTTATTTTATAGTCAGATCCCATGAGGCAGAGTAAGGGGGTGGTCAAGTTGTTTATAATGTTCTTGCGAGTTTTGAAGCTACTTAATTACATGCACCTGAGAACTCTATCAAGCTTTGTTTTGGCAGCACTTGCTGCTGCACTTCCCACAGCCTACATCACTCGACCACCTGGAACCACAGGTTCGGACCATAAGGCCAAGCTTACAACCATAGCCTTTGACTATAATTGTGCTGGGAGAGCTTTGCCCTCCAAACTGGGGCCTGCACGTGGCTTTGCCATGAGAGGACCGTGCTCCCTCATTAGTCTGAGGCTTGAACCTGTCCAAACGCTATAGCCACTCTCCACAAAAGGTAAACAAGCCAACAAGTTTTGATGCTTCTCATTATTTGTTCTCAGAAAACATAGAGCTAGAGAAGGTGCTCCAGCAGTGGAAATCAGTGTGCATTGATATTTTTTCTTCTTTACTGACTAAAACGTGATCAAACTGAAACAATTTCCAGAGCTAGATTGTAAAAAATAAGTAAATAAATAAATAAAAACAATAAAAGAAAGAAAGAAAAATATTAGACATGTTTTCATTAAAAGAAGACTTGATGGAAAAAATAAAGAGAACTCTGGAACTAAAAAAATAAAAATGATAAACAACATAATATATGGGCAAGTGTGAGATCCAATAATGTCTGCTTGTAGCTCCTCATTTCCAGTTTACTCCTAGAAGTTTTTACAAACATTACTTGTTCTTAGAAGATTTAGTGTGACTCACAAAGGTACAAAATTATAGAAATCTCTTTAAGCTAGATATAAGAATAAAAGAAAAAGAAAATCTGCTGTAGTGATATAAAACAAAACCATTATCAGAGCTGTCTGAAAAAGAAATCAAACTATAAAAGGCTATAGCCTTCCTATCAGATACATCCCAGTTGGACTCTCAGTTTTCCGGAGGCCAAATAAAAAAAGAAATCTGATCAATTCATAATTTACAACACCCATGATAAAAGCAAACCAATTTACTCAAGAGAAGTGCAATTATTCCTGCTACTAAAACCTGAAAGAAATTTCTCCCAAGGGCCATCATAAAAAGGACACTGTAAAATATAATGAAATATGCCTTGAACAATATCTTTATGATAGACACCACTAAGTTTCACAGAGCTGCTTTTTTATGCTATCCCTCACTATGTACTGGTACTAATGGTCTAGCTATACAATTCTGTGTGTAGTTTCATAGAGGCATAGATTTTTAAATAACTGGGAAAATAGGTGGACAAAAACATCTATCAAACATTCTTCAAAAACATCTTTACCTTACTGTAGCTCTTTAGAGAAACTTGGCTTTAAATCTCAGAACACTTATTTGGTTCACTCAGTAAATAGGTATCAGGCATCTATAATTTACACAACACTGTATTAGGCACAGAGGAAACACAGGAGACAAAACAATTCCCAGGAAATCAGCTAACCTGTGATGTCAATAAAATGTAAATAAATATGACAGATGACCTGAAAAAAAATTAAAAGTTGACATTGTCTTGTGAAAACCTAAGGCCCATCAAGCCTGGGATTCAATTCCAGTGATAAACTCATGGCGTGGGTCAGGTCTCACTTAAGAAAATAGGTTTGAATCTGCCCTGACCTACAGATTAATGAGCACTTGCCGAATCTTCTACTGTTTTGGAGTAGTCACAATGTCTTTTTGGGAAGAGATTTAGTCCCTCCATTTCAAGGTTTGTTTGTTGTTTTTTTTTCCAAAATAAGCACCCTATTGAGATTTTTACAATAAATGTGGCTTTTAAACCGAGAAGCCTTAGTTATAGCTTCCTTGGAGATATCTCAGGAGACAAGTGGAGGAGGAGAGGGGAAGGGGAGGACAAAAAAGGCCAGTCAGGCCTCCGCTATCTGTATCCATATCTCAGCCACAGAGGCCTCCCTGCTAAATGTAAGAGTGTTTTTTTGACAACTAGTTTTTACAAAGTGTTTGAAAACCACTGCACTGTTCTAAACTATATTTTATTTTTATTTTATTTTTCCTCCACAAAAATGATAAATACATCTATTCAATAACTATGTACTGCTCATCTTTGCAGGGTTTTTTTCTCAAGGAGCTCAATGTTTGTGTTAAGTCCCCCAAGTGCACCAAAAATGAGGCTACGATTGGCTAACTGTTGTCTTAGAGATATGAATACCACGCACTATACATGCATATCGTGGATGGGGTGGTCAGGACAAATGGGAGTGAGCAGAGGGCTCAAGAAGCCCTTAGATACTAGGTAGCTTTTGAATTAAGTCTTAAAAAAAGAAAGAAACTAGGAAAACAAAGCCGATAAAGTAATTTTAAGTAATAGATTGAGTGAGGAAGGATATGTCAAACAGCATAGCAAAGGGAAACAGTAGTAATTTGTGTGACTGAAATGCAGATAAGGTACAAAATGATGTCTTCGAATTAGGAAGAGGTGAGATCATAAAGAACCAGTGTGGCCACCCAAGAGATTGGAACCAAAGACAAGAGGAGAACAAATGAAACCAAACCACACAAAAACTGTAGAGGAATGTCATGAGATAATTTATATTTTAGAAATATTATTTTAGTATTATTGTGGAGGATATGATAGAGAAGCTAAGAATAGAGTCAAGCACAGTAATTAGAAGGTGATTGCAGTAATCTGGAAGAAAATTAACAGGAATCTGAATTAAGCTAGAGAAATTGTCATGAGAAGGAAGTACAAAAGACACTAAAAGGGTGGAATGTATGAGATTTTGTGACTTCTATGGACTATCTGTGCTGTTTTATTCCCTTCTGAATATAGTGATGTATTGTATGTGTTACTTCTCTTTCTAGTTTTATTCCCACTTTCTGATCCATGTATAAGTTGTCTGTCAAGCTTTAAAAATTTTGAAATGCTACTCTTCATATTCACCGAATCTTACATAGCAGTCCACTTGAAACTTAAACATTTAATCACTTAGTACATTCTGTCTGCATAACAAAGCTCCACATTATAATCCCCCTGTTATTACAAGATCTGTGCTGTCTTGGTTACATTTACACTTCAATTACAATAACAATGCTTTCATTTTAACAGCTTCTAGTTTCTGAAGGATTAATTCTCAAGGATTATGTTATAATGAGAACAAAAGTTATTGACTACTTTTCTCATTTCTTTCTGAAATGCTTTGCTAGCTAAATAAAAGTGAAACCAAATTTATGCCAAGATGTTTTCTTGTTTTCTCTCTGCAGGAAAACATAATGGAAGTTATAAGAAATCAAGAGTTTTTACTGCTTCCAGCTGAGGAGCTCCATAAACTCCTGGCCAGTGATGATGTAAATGTTCCTGATGAAGAAACCATCTTCCATGCATTAATGATGTGGGTGAAGTATGACATGCAGAGAAGATGCAATGACTTGAGTATGCTTCTCGCCTTTATAAGACTGCCACTGCTTCCACCACAGGTAAGTGTGATGCTGCTTTAATAGCTACAATTTACTGAGAAATCTTATGTTCAAAGTAACATGAAAAATAATAACATTAAACTGTTAAAAATCACTTTAAAGACACATTTGAAGGCACATTTGCCAAACTAAGTTTTATGACTCTCCTTAGCATTATTTATTCACATTTTTGGTTTTAGTTTTAATCAAATACTTTTTAAAAATAGATTGATGGTGGAAGAATAATGGGCCATGGGTCATAGGTCTAAGTCCCATAGATGCTGTAAAAATTGGTGTCTGTTGAAATGTGAGAAGCTAGGTGTTAAACTGGTGCTCAAAAATTCTATTAAATAGTAGGACACACACCAGAGGAGGCCAAGAATGTAACCAGGACTTCATCTTTTCATGAAATGCCTTTCCTTTATACCTTCTTCCCCCAATATTTTGTCAAAATGGAAGATGCTCCTACCTGTCCATCTCATCTCAACTATTACATCAGAACAACATGAACATCTTACTGGCTTATTTGTACTAAGACTACACATTACATATGCAGTTTTTATTCTTACTGGTTCAGCTGCTGTGTCTTACTTGGAAAAATATATGTATTTATTTTATAAAATAAAATATTACTTCGTTTTTGTGTAATGAATAAAAGGCTTTTAAGGTAACTCTTATATAACTCCCAAAAACACAAACATAGCATGTAGTCCAGTGATGGCGAACCTTTTGAGCTTGGCGTGTCAGCATTTTGAAAAACCCTAACTTAACTCTGGTACCGTGTCACATATAGAAATTTTTTGATATTTGCAACCATAGTAAAACAAAGATTTATATTTTTGACATTTATTTTATGTATTTAAATGCCATTTAACAAAGAAAAATCAACCAAAAAAATGAGTTCGGTGTCACCTCTGACACGCATGTCATAGGTTCGCCATCACTGAATAGTCAATTCTTCATTCCTCAGCTCTCAAATAGGGGTATTACAAGCATAACTTTATATATACTTTCAAACAACAAATGTACAGGAGAAAGAGTAAAACACATTTTATTTTCATAAAATGTCCTTGGTTATAGGCGGAGCTATTCTTCCATAATTAATATTCATGAATTGCATGTCATTATAGGTATTTTTCATACAATATTTCTAATCTTAAAAACACAGCTGTAGTATTAATCTTAGTTATGTTGTACAGAGGGGAAAACAGTTCCAACGAGGTTTTTCAAGGGCCATAGACCTAGTGGAAAATGCAGTTTTTCTGCAAACCTGGCTAGCCAGATAGGAGCATGCACAGAGACAGTTCTTCTGTGAGTTTCTGTTGTTCACCTGTTTGCTCTCTAAATTGGAAGCTCATAGAAATGTCCTGAATACAGCAGTTCTGAAGATCCTCATTAAAAGCTGGAAAAGAAAGAAGAGCAGGGGTACAGGAATGAACATATACATTTATTTTATTAGTTACAAAAGCATAAAGCATATAGTTTATCTCATTTAATTTCTATAATATCTTCCTGAATTGAATATTATTATTACCATTTGACAAATGAAGTTAGTGAGACTCAGGATGATAGCCTCTTTCTACCTAGTTGTAGAGCTCAGATTTTTCTCTATTTATACAGGGTGGGAGAAGAGTGGGTTTACAGTTGTGAGTATGCAAAACACAGAGTTTATTTTTTTATTCTTATTTATCAGTTATTGCATTATTTTCCATTTGAACAACTGTAGACCTCCTTTTGCCACACCCTGTATATGAAACCAATGTGTGCTTTTTCCACTGCTGGCGAATGAGTTCAGTATTTATTTCCGTGGTTGGCTTCATATTTACAGCAATGTCCAACCAGGGTTAAAAGAGAGTTTAATAGAATCTAAGATTTCTCAAATTTTTACACAAACTTTCAAAGTTGCAAAATATGTTAAGGCCCTTAAGAAAAGTCATTATGATAATCAAGTAACATTTTTGCCTTGATCCTGGAATCATTAAATAAGGTTTTGTCCTTAAATCTTACAGTACTTAATATATAGGTCTTTTACAATCTTTAAGTGATTTGTTGGTATACACTCTATTTGTGTAATTATATTATACATGTAATTATATTATATATTATAATATGTAATTATTAATAATTGTATAATATTTAATTGTTATAACAAAACACAATATTGTATGTTAAAATGCCAACATTATTTAAAGGAGTTAGAGTCTGGATTTTTCTAGTGAGGTAAGGGTTTATTTTGCAAAGGATGTATTAAAGGAGTCGAGAAAAGAATTGGGCTTTTGTTTTTGTAACAGAACTTTTATAGAGGTAAAGATAACTTTCAGGAGAGTGAGAGAACAATATTTGGAAGACCAGTTGTGAGTAGCTTATGATATTGTTAAGCAAAACATAAGAACTGACAGAGGCAAGAGTAAGAAAGACAAATATTTAGAAATGTTTACGATAAGAGAGACAGAGGAAGAAAGAGAAAGAATACATGCTTTCAGGGTAAAATTAAAGTAAATAACCTATAAATAAATTTACAGCTATGAGTTTCTATTCAGCAAATGCATGGAATATTTTCTCCAGTTAAAAAAAAATGTTAAAATAAAGACAGAGAATTCAAAAACAAAGGAAACATGTTAAAAGATTGATTAGAGACAAAGAATAAATTTAGATACAGTAACAGTCTTATCTCACGAAGCAACTGACCAGCTCGACTTAGGCAGATTTCAGTTCAGCCATTTCTCACAATCTGCATTTTCATATCTATTATTATTAGGCCCATTATGTGTGTTTGGTTATTTCTGAAGGTCACAAGAGAAAATCTCTGATATTTCTTATTATTGACAAATTAACATATTATTATAGTATATAAATTATGGTAATTTGGTATAGAACAATATAATGAAGATGTAAATTTTGGTACAGAATGAGGATTTTAATTGACAACAGTGATAAACAAAGTGAGCTGTCTGTGTCTATGAGTTTTTTTGTTTTTTTTTCCCTCTTAATTCCTTCACCATTTCAACCAGTTCTGCAACCCCGCTCCTCTATGACAATTGTCAGTCTGTTCTGTATGACTCTATTTTGTTAGTTTCTTTTATTTATTAGATTCCACATATGTAAAATCGTATGGTATTTGTCTTTCTCTGACTGGCTTATTTCAGTTAGCATAATGTTCTCCAGGTCCATTGATACTGTCACAAAGGGTAAAATTTTCTTCCTTTTTATAGCCAAGTAGTATTCTATTGTGTAAATGTACCATAGCTGTTTTATCCAGTCATCTGCTGATGGACACCTCTTAACTCTTACAAATTAATAAGGGAAAACCAATTACTCAAACATTAACACAATCCATCTTCAGTCTTTGTTACTTTTTTATTTTGTTTTTTTGTTCTGACTTTTCCCTGGTTTGCTTGTTGCCTTATTAATGAATGATATCAGGCTATCATCAAATTGATAATCTTCACAAAACAACTGTAAGAGTTTTTAAAAATTATGAAGTAATTGTACTCTTCCCTAAAGAAACTTAAACAGTGGCTTTAAAACATAAATTTATAGGTAATATATGCTTCTAAAATCTTACAAAAATTTTCTTAAATACTATTTGTAGTAACAGTTATTAACTCTCTATGTTGTTCACAGTTCAGGTTACAACATTAAAAAAAAAACACGAGCTATTTATTTCAACAAGTTTTAAGTCAACAGGCTTTTATATGCACATGTATAAATGTATACATATACATTATTTTCTGTAGTGAAGCAAAGAGAGTAGAGAAATTGAAATCTAATATGAAAGTCTTATTTTTGCTGCAGTACACCAAGTGTCCATATTTACGTTATCAATTTTATTTCAGGTTGGATTATTCCAATTAACTTACAAAGATGTGTGTTTTTTTAGGCATCTTAAAACAAAATTCTTTGTATTCCTTTGTGGCAACTGCTCCAATTATCTGTTCTCTTTTCCAGCAAAATATACAGTTATTATTTGTAGTCATTAAATCTGTTTATTCGTCATTCTCTCTTCAACCTGCTATAGTCAGTCCTTTGACGTGATAAAGGTCAGCCAAATCCTCCATGCTGTCATCTTCCCCTTCTCACTTATTTTTGTCTTACTTGGCGTCTCAGCAGCATTTGACACAATTGATCTGGCCACTCTTAATCAATTGTCATAGCTAATTATTTCTACTCTGTAATGTTGCAATGTCCAGGACACAGTTTTTGCTGCATAGAGATTCACATTTATTTCTGTGCTTTGAAATACTATATGGGAGTCAATTACCAACTCTGAATTTATATCTCTAGCCTCAAACTTTTCTTCAAAGATAGATTCAAATACCCAATTAGCTACATGACATCTCCAATTGAATATTAAATAGCTATATACACTCCCCATTCCGAAATGGGAGATTTCAAAGTCCCAAGATTCTTTCCTATCACTTCAGTAAATATCATTACCAACTGTCTAGTTGCTCAGGTGGAAATCCTAGAATCATTTGTAATTATCCACTTTTTATTGCCTTTAACGTTAAATTCATTTCCTTGAAAGTCCTTTGGCTGTATTCCAAACCATATCTGGAATCTTTCTACTTAACATGTCTTCAGCCACATCCTAAAAGAAACCACCGCCATCTTTCTTCTGCACCATTTAAATAGTTATTATTCTTTTATGCTTAACCACTACAATGATTTCCATTTAGCAACCAGTATGGTTCAATTTCTCCCAAACTTTTAAGATGTATACACTTAGGACAAAATCTAATATCCCTGTCCTACAGGCCCTTCCTCAGCTCTCCCATGACTACTCATCTGAGCTCATTTTCTACCAGTTCTCAGGATCCTACAGCCACATCGTTTTTTCTGTTTCTTGAGCAATTTAGTTTTATTTATTCTATAGTATCCTGTACCAGCTGATTCTGGGGACTAGAAATAGGCATGCCAAGAGAAGATAGTGGAGTTGGTTGAACTATTTTCTCAAGAGCAAGTAATGATGAGGGAGGTATAAATGATAGGTAATTAAAGACAATAATTTTAAAAAACCC